GCGACACATCAAATGTTTAGGTCTTTAAACTTAACATCAGTTTTAAATGATTTGTTTTGAAGCGAAATAAACGCACAAATAGTTTACTCAATGAAGTGAACCAAACATTTCATTAATGCATTGATTAGTGATTATTATATTGAATGCCATTGAATGCCATCTATGAGTGACTCTGAAGTCCAGTCGTATCTCAGCTGACAATCTATGAGACAATTATTGGCGACAAACAAAACAAAAACATTTCACAACAATATTGTGTTGTTTTCAGCGCTTTGTTAACCAAATGTCAATTGATTTGAATTTTATGGCACTTTTCCAGCATTTGTTTCATTTGTTTCTCAGTTAACATATTTTTAAAACAATTTTAATTACTTTGTGATCATTTGGTTTGTGGACACTCTTTGGGACCAATCGGTGACAAAACACAAATGATTGGACATTATTTGTCGCGTCTTATAATGTAAGCGATGACCCAATTGTTGGTCACTTTCATTGAATCCATTTATTACTTTTATATTGTCCTCTATTTTACATATCTTTTTATGAATCAGTTTTTCTTATGTTTGAAATGTTAGTCCATTTATGGCATTCAATGACAGTATCTCTCAATTGTACACCAAATTTGTCTTATATTTTCAAATATACGTTACTTTCTATGCAATCCTTTTTAAACCACTTTTATTTGATATGCGATTCAATTACAACACATTTTCAACCCATAGTTGTATTCAATATAACGGTTAGAAGTTATAACCGTTTTATTTGTAACTTTTATTGAAGTGATATATTATTATGTAATGCTATTTGTATTACTGATTCAGTGATAGTGAAGAAAAGCTAATATTGTTAGCATTGTTAATAATGATATCAATGTTAGGAAATGGTAAAATTAAAATACATATTCAAATGATTACATGTATGGTTGTTATGGATTAGGGTTTAAAAGTTTGACAAATGTTTGTATAAGTGTTTGTATTATAAGACTGTTGAGGAATGTCTTTCAGTCCTATAAGAGTTCTGTTAAGAGTCTATTTTTAGCCATCGTTTACATAATAGTCGAGTAGTTATCACTCTTTAGGAAGTATTCATTTGTATTTTGCACACAATTAATGCATTTCATTATAAATACCATGAATTGCAATAAATGTTGCATTTATTTAACACTATTTCATAATTTACTAATTGAATGCATTTACTGTACAAAGTTATACATTATAATAATTTTGCAAATTATGTCAAATAAGCTGCGAATGTAATGAAAGAGTTGTTGAATACCATAAACGATCAAATAAGTGATGTCTAATAATTCACTTAAAGTTACCATAACTGCAGCCAACACCGCATTCTTCCTCCTCTTTGGAAGCGCTTGTTTTCACTCATTTGCCAAATATTTTTATTTCATGTATAGACTCCTCTTCGGGACACTATTTCCCGCATATTCTTCTTATAAGGCCGTCAAGAATCGCGACGTTAGAGAATATGTAAGTATTTCTTATCATTACTAACAAACAGCCATTATTTGTAAACTATAATTGATTTGTACGTCAAGTCTCGATGGATGATGTATTGGATTGTTTTCGCCATCTTCTCATTCGTTGAAGTATTCACTGATATATTCGTCGGATTTTGGTTTGAATTTGATTTTATTGAAACAATGCATTCAATATTTAATGCATTGTATGTTTTTAAAGGCTTCCCTTCTATTATGAAATGAAAATACTATTCATTCTGTGGCTGATGTCTCCCTATGGAAACGGATCCAAGATTTTATACCTTCATCTCATTCATCCACAGCTCACAAGTCATGAACAGGTATACCAATAAGAGTGACTATTATTATAAATATAATTCATAATTCGTGGATTTATTGTTATATCTCAAAAGGCGATTGATTTATACATCGATACTGCAAAGCAAATGGGAATTACATCTGTTTGGCAATTATGGATTAAAGTTAGAGTTTACGCCAACAAAACTTTGTTATATTTCTTTCAATATGTGAGTAAAACTTTAATTTAGAAAAATAATAACTAAAATATCGCTCGTTTAGACGCAAGCGGTTGTATTGAATCAAATGCAACGAAACGCCAGTGCAGTCGACGGACCACCCGTTCAGACCATTCAAACTCAACAACTCTTAAGTCAACCCAATTTCTTACAACAGCTTCTATTCATGAGATCTCCCAAACCTAATGAAACTGAGTCTTCAAGCGTCACGCAAACCGTCCAAAGATGTTCATCAGAAAGTATTACCACATCTCCTAATCCCATATCTCAGCGATGGTTTTCAGATATGAATATTTCCGAAATGAATGAAGAATTCAAACCATTGCCGCACTCATTGAGTTTACGGATGCGCTCAGAATCGGAATCAAATCTCGACGATTGGGAACAAATGGATGTGAATGAAGTGGACGCCAAACCACCTCAGCCTCCATCCAAAGGCCGCAAGAAAACTAAGAAGGTTTCCGTCAGTCCTTCTGATAAACCTGTGAGACGAACGGCCAGAGCAGCGGCTCTTAGAGCCAGAGCTAAATGCAAAGACGATAGTCTTCCGGAAGAGTATTAATACAAATTGATGAGTATTGCCGTCAAATGTACTTAAAATATAAATTTCACGCCTTAATTGTCTTATTTTGGTAAATCATATCTATTGTATACAATCTGTAAATATCTGTGATATTCTCTACTAATGAATACTATTTCCTGATTGCCTACAAATTGTATAAATTATACACTTCTAGATTTATTGCATTAAATTTTTCATTCAACTAGTTTTATATCATATTATTATACGCTTTTGCTTCAAGTTTACATTTAATTATATTGAAAAATAAATATGTTTTAAATTAACCATTCATTTGGGTAGAAAGTAGATCTGATATACGGTACAGTATTTTATATTGCAATTTGCTGATCATGTGTACGAACACAGCATTGATTACAATTATTTGAAAGATACTGAAAATTAAGGTACATTTAATGATGCATATCATTTAGCAAATGCTGGCGCCAATCGGTAAAACGACTACAAGTATAATACAGTTCAAATGGACAGTTGTAGCACACAGTTTGTACGCAAAACAATGACATTTAATAAAGTATTCATTCATTATTCATCATTTACTGAATTTAGACTCATTTACATCATTATTCATCATCATTCTGTTTACTGAATTGGTAATAAAAATTGAGAACTTCATCAGCTGTAGGTCTTTTCTGTGGATCAATGTGTTTGCATTGGTTGTGTATATGAGTTAATTTGTTAATAATCTCAATACCTGACTGTGAATCGGTTCCCGCATTTAGAAACCATTCACAAACGTCTGGTATTTTCCAAATGTCTGTTTTGTGGTCGTATTCAGGCATAAGTTCATCACTAAACGACTGTAAGAATATGGTATCGACAAGCCCGCGATGTTTTCTAGGTTTCTCGACAGACACTGGTGTAAATTGTGGAGAAAGTAACACCTAGTGAAGACCGTCTCGCAGGTTTAGCAAGTTTTGTTAACAGTTTCTGTCTGTTAATAAGTATTGGGAAAGAGTTTTCTGAAGAGAGTTGGAGTCACACATCACTCGAGTGCCGATCGGACTGTTGTGCAGAAATTGCAAAATCTTCACATAATTGATGCATAAATTGAATTTAACATAAATATTGTTATAATTAGACGCCTCTTGAGTAAGAAGTTGTGGTAAACGGTTTGCGTCGCCGTTGGGATGATATTCAGTGAATAACATATCGTTATGACACCAACCGATCAATTGGACAATCAATGGGTTGACCGACAATTGGCGTAACATTTGGAGGTTATGTTCAAAATCGGCGGCAAATTGTCGGTCACTTAGATTTGAAACAATGATATAATTGTTATTCCAATCAAATAAATATATATTCTTCACTAATCCTCTGCTTAACAACACTTCACGAGTCATGTCTTTATAATCACTGCAATCAAGCAATTGGTGACAACTTTTCATTTTTCCGATTCGGAAATATCCGTTCGGACACCGATTCGGACAATCGTTTTCATCAACACTTATATTATGAAGAAATATATTCAAAATAATCACTAAAACTGATAATACTTTTAAAATTAATACTTTTGTCTCCATTTCTTGACATCAAATCATTTTTAATTAAATATGTAATTGATATGAAAATTAAGTTATAATTAAATCAAAGAGTTTTAGACCAAAGAATGGCATCGAAATGATGAAGAATGTGATGAGACATCAGATCCGATCCAATGACTCGAGAAGTACGACAGCATTGCCTCTAATGACAACCATTCCGATGGGAATCTTCTCTCCCTTTCGGGTCTCTTCAACCGCTTCGTCGACCACTAGATTCATGAATGGATCAAATCCTCGCAAAATGCCATTGATTTGTCGGTTTCCGTTCAGTTTGACTGCAAATCACAATCAATTCATTACTAACGCATCCATACATACAAAACAGACAAAGACATGGCATGACTCACGTGACAGACGTTTATCCATATACTTCTTGAGCTCCGGTGGATGTGCTTTACTCATGGCTTATAAATTCAAATCTAATCGACAGATCACACAATGATTGAAATGTTTAATACAAATGACAATTGAATTAACACTTGAATTGATAGCAAATGGCAAACGTTTAGCGACTTTCAGATCACATGTCAAGCAATTGAAGGCAATGTTGGACTGAGAGTGACATCTGTTGGCCGTTTGGACAGCACTTCAGCTCCACTTTCAACACAAACACACGTTTTTCGGTGAGTATTATGTTTTGATTGTCCTTTTGATTGACCACTCAATCAATTGATTGCTATATTTTGAGCGCATTTCCTCTTCGTATCAATACTTTGATCACTAAATGAGTTAACATTGGATTGAATTACTAGTGATAATCAAAGATCACACACTTTGGTAGCGATGGGTCCGCGCTCACCACAGAGATTCTCTGCGTTTCGCTCATTTTCGGTATTTAAAGAAGTGTTTTGTTTCGAATTCTTTGTCTCCTTATTTTACGACTTCTTTAGCCACTTTTAACTTACCAAACAGTAAAAAATGATTATATACTTTGAATGTCGACAACAATTGATTGTATTGTTTATCACTTGTAAAGCAAATCGATTCGCGACTCTTGGGATGCGAAGAAGAATCTGAACTCTAATATGAAGGCAATGGGTCTCTCATTAGATCCAAATAAGACTCTTTTGATAAGTGATGACCAGAAGGAGAAGAAAAAGTTTGTTTTTGGGCTTTTATTTTGCTTTCAATAATTTCTGAACCTTCGCTAACGCTCGCTTGGAGTTCTGTTCTTCAAAGCAAAACCAAATTTATGGCAATTCAAAACGCAAATATACTAACTCTTTAACGGCGATAATTATAAGGTATGTTTTGATTGGTTATAATTACTGCATGTATTTGATTGACACTTAATATTGATTGTAACGAACAGGCGATGGCCAGAGACCCGACTAATTACTATCAGGAGTCTGTCGGACAGATCAGACAGAAGATCAATAAATTCCGATCCATTCCTTCCAATTGGAACTCCTATATGAAGGCAAAGGAAATAATGGATTCTTCGACGTCCAGTGATTTGAATGATAATTCATAATACAATTCATTTTCATTTCAAATTAAACATTTTTATCACATTAATAGCATACATAAAATTTAATCATATATTAAACAATTAAAATATATCTGAATTTTATTTTGAAAGCGATTAAAATTATTTGATTAAACGATAAGAATGTCGTCTTTTAATTAATTAATGCAATAAAAGTTTTGATATGATTTGCGCTCAAAGTTAGCAATTGTTTTATTTCAGTCATTAATATAATATAAATTCAAGAAATTTTATATACTTTTGTAATAAAGAATTGATTTTTTACTATTTTAGTGAAACAAAGGAATTATAACTACTAATGATGGAGACTGAAAGCCATTTAACGAAATGTTTGTTGAAATTAAATAAATATAAAATATATACATATATTAATTAGATTGTAATGATTAATAGCACAACGCGTCCAATTCACTGAAGACACTTTCGGCACAGTTGGACACGATTCAGATATAGGCATCAGATATACCAATCAAAGCCTAATTGACGTACATTTAGGATTTTTGCAGGTATTCAACAATTTTCCTATAATCATATCATAACCCTTAATATAATCACAAAGAATTAACCCATTATTTGGTTGTTAAAACCTATTGTATTGCCTGTTATATTGCAAATATAATGTATAAAACTATAATAAGTGTGATTGTAATGATCAGGTGAGACATCGTTATGCGATAACATTCAGCTTCGAGTGTCCGGAATCGATTGAAGGCTCGCTTGTGGTTCGCAATCAAGAATCGTCGGCAATCAACCCAAACACACATGTAATTGATTTGAGGGCTTTAGATGTCGACAATTTGCCGACAAACACATCGAATACAACTAATTCTAAATTTAAATATGAAATAACTGTTGAATTGTTTGCACACAAAGAAAAACTACTAAAAGAGCAGATATGTCTGCATTCGAGCCAAAATGTGTGCCAAACCCTAACTCTAGTATTTCACGCCCGAGTCTTAGGCAAAGGGAAGGGAACACCACTTATAAAGAATGGCATCAAATGTGTTGGCATTGAAATGGATGAGGACGACGGCGATAGCAGTGATTGGCAAGGATTTAGTAATTGATTCAATTAATTAATTGTATTATTATTCGTATAAACTATTCCTTTAAATATTGTTTATTTATAAATTGAATTCATTTTTGGAAATATTTTGAATAAAATTATCAATTTTTATCATTTATGATGTGATTACAAACCATTGCAAACAATTATTATTGAAAAACATATTTCAGATTTTATTAGTTCAGTATAATATAATTAAAACTTATATATCTTAAACTTTAAGACTAGATGTAGTGATAAGTTTTCAGTATTAAAGTGCATTATTAGTAATAATTTATTACAGAAAATAATATATTTGTTGAGCAAAACTTAATGAACAAAGATTAAAATACAAAGTCTGAATAACTAACATAACTGTTTGTTATTTAATTTTACTAATTGATTGTATTGTTAAGTAATGAAAGCAATAGGATATAGATGTGCGGATAGAGGTATTTCATTATTACAGTAATGAATCGATAAATTGGTTGAAAAAATAACAAAAACATAAATATTTGCCAAATGTATCGCTAAAAGTACTTAAATCCTAATTTAATCACAGATTGAACATGAAATCAATGGCCAAATTGACTGTTAGTATAATGTCAGCAGACATTCGCTATCGGAATATTAGGTTAGGTTTTATGCGATTAGATATTACTGTGTATTACTGTAGTGGAGAGGAAAGAGAGGCAATGGAAAAGAGAGGCATTCAATAAAATTTCAATTCTTTGGAAATATTTTCACAATATTCTTGTTTTGAAAACATATTTATATAAGAGTTTAACATAATTTATAACATAGTTTATAATATATTTGTTTTTTACAAATGTTGTATTTTCTATTATCCATAACATATCTGTTGTTTGTCTGTATATTACACACAAAGACAGGCAATTCCTGTAATGTGTGACGAGTTTGACGTTTTGTTTTCCTCAATATATTGATCAGTCCTTCAATTAAATGAATTTCATTTCTTATGAAAATATTTTTATTAATAAAATCATTAAATGAGTGAATGAGTTGCTAAGGGGTGGCAAACGGGGGATCTCTCGTCAAAGTAATTGTAGACGTAAACCAACGCAAGATTGGACGTACACTACATGTGCTCAGTATTCAAGCATTCAATACTAACCATTAAATTCAATTCAATTCATTTTAGTTAAATATAGTGCTGGCGATACCACTCCAGTACTGTATACACATTTATAACATTGATATTGGTTACATTAAACAGTTGTATCCGGTTACAATATGTGTGGACAAACTAACCATCATTACTGTTTGGCTAAAAGTTAATGATTAGTGTGGGTTAGTTTCAAAGGATCAAAGGTCGCCCCATTAATGTAAGTGAATTGATTGCACTACACGTACTGTACGTGAATTACTTGTTAACAAATTGATTATGGTATTTATGGGATTTTGGATGAATGTGGTAAATGGATGCTTAAATTGAGCAATGATTGGGAAACTGCAGCAATGCATGCAATGCTGGCATGGATTGTGTTTTTCAAACTAAACTAAAATCGTTGCCAAAAAGTCAATAAAATCTAGTTTGAGATTAACTGTTGTTGAGTTGTATTGAATGAATGATTGCATCATATGTTGGGAAGTGTTGGCAGACTCTCTGACTGGCAGTGATTCCCCACAAGCGATGGCCTAAATCTGCTGCACATGTATTGCAGTACATGTCGTGTAGAGTGCGTTGCAGTGAAGCGCACGACAACTGCACTACAAGTTGTGTACAACTGTTTTGACGACATTTTGAAAGTGCACTCAAACTTGGGATCAAATGAATTGATTTTGAAGACAATTGGTCTCACATTTGCCTCAATATACCACAAAAGATGCATATTTTACAAAAGTGTTTGAACTATCGTTGGGTTATGTCTTCATTGGTATCAATGATTATCTTCAGTCATACCTTCAATTGATTTGAATTTCATATTTAACTCTCATTTCATTTCTTCATTCATTTCCATTGAATTGAATCCAAATTTTCTCCTCTTTTGGTGAGTATTAATGAATACATGTTTTGTTATCTATTTATTAGCGATTGTATTGAATTAGTTATTGATTTTGATGTATATATCAATCAAAGTATTGAGACTTAAGACCGTGTTATCAATGGTACGAAAGTCATGCCATCAATACTTGTGCCCAAATCTAATCAATGCCTCAATTAGTTTATACACAAAATTGTGAGACAAATATGTTTTGTTGCCAACACTTCCACCACTTCTTAAGATACCGATTGTTATTATCGTTAAGATTTTGCAAAAAACATGACGTGTGGACGACCTTCCAGTTCTTGTACACCACTCTTGTATATAAAAGCCATGCACTCAACCATTGATTAATTTATTATTGATTTAATTGAATTGATTTATAAGTAAAGCCATTTTGAGTTGAATTGTTAGAAGTAATCATAAATTGGTTACAAAAATGAATTTAATTGAGGCTAATATTGAGTCTATGGGATGGGATTCACTGACAACCCATCGCCTGAATACTGTGTTCTTTTGGGACATGTATTGCAAACAATCACACATTTTGTATGCAATGATTGTTATCTTATTTATTGAATACTTAATTGATTGCTAACTTTACACACATTTCTAATGATGAATATAACTACAGATTCAGTGAAACGACTTCTTTGCTAAAAATGGACGATTCGGACAACAAGAAGAAGAAGAATACTCTCAATGACTGGAGTAGTAATCCATTTGAAAGGGTGAACCACTCGACCAACTTTGAAGACTATGCGTGTACTTCAGATGAAACCAACTTTCTGTACAACAACTCTCACCACACAAGGGATCTCTTGAAGACTTGGAGCCCTATTCAGGCCATCAACAGAGGTAACTATAATATGTGAATGAACCCCATTTTGCCCACTATTTTAAGTTCAAATGCTTTTAGAACTTGTTTTGTCAAATAAAACCCATTTTTAGTTCTCTGCTCTTAATATGTTTGCATTTTGTTGATTGAATGCAGATTCAGGCTTAACATCGAGTAAAAGTGCACCAAAACTGGAAACAAATGTTTTCAATCATTTGACGGATAGAAGAGATCACAATTCGTCAGCAGAGGTGACGCCATCGGGAACTCCTCAAAGTTCTCCGTATTCTATGCGTAAAGTAATGGAAAGCAATAGAATTGTCAAACAGAATGACACGAAGAATCAGTTGTCTGTGAATCAGAAGCGTTGGTTTAATACTGGATTCTTCTCGGATATAAAAAATGGATTAGAAAAACCGATTCCCCAAATGCCTAAAACACAAAGTTTCAAAAACCTTTGCGTTTCCAACTTTGACATCAATGCTGTCGGACCCACATCTTGGTAGACATCCCCTCCTTTCACAACCTATTTATGCAATCATTCAATACATTCCAAAGCAATCTATTCTTCTATTCTTGAAGCGAATAATATTCTTCTCTTTACTTCATATAAACCCAAAAGTAAATTGAAATCTCAATTCAACTCATTATCTCATCTCTCAAACAGTATTGCGAACAATAATTATCATAAATGTTATCAATCATTGTTTATTCAATAGTTTTAAGATCTTTTATCTGTTTTCCCCTCAAATGTTACGAATGTTTAAATCTCTAAATAAAATTATTTACAAAAGACTATATATTAGTCTTTATTAAATACGTGTTTTAATTGTTTGATTAATTTATAACGAATTATTCATTGATTAGCAATTGATTTTGCCCACAAATCAATTTTAGGAACATACATTTGATTTCTAATTCTCTAACAAGTAAGTTTTTATGAACAATATGTTGGGTCAAAAAGTGCTATATTCAAAGTATACAGACTGTAGTATATATTGTGCTGAAATGACCATGGACAATTAGCGTTGTCAATGCTATAACAATGGAGTATAAGTATTGCATAATTGAATGTTAAGGTATAGACAGGTATACCGTATAACAGGTTTACAGTTAACTGTAAAAAATCGTACGACAAGTCTTTGTAATGACTCACACTTTCACCACTTTATTCTTAACAGATGGCAATCCTATATGACTGAACACAAGTGGCAATAGTGTTGTAGAAATACAATATGTATTATATTTTACAATTAATTAATAAGTACAACAATAAAATGCATTTTGTTTAACAATACATATGGTGAAAATTAAATTTATTAATTTCTACGTAATTTCGATGTAATTATAATTTTATTAAAAGTGTATTAAATAATAACTATAAATATAGGAATACAACACTAGTGTGAATGAAATGATGAATCAGTTTTGCAATAGTTTTACAAACATTTGAATGGCTTTTGGTTTGTGTTTTGAAAACAATTAGAAATGAATTCATAATTAAATTTAATAATCACTTATTGATGGCTAAGAAATGCAAGTCTTCGGCAATACATTCATTACATGCCTATTGACAGCCATTTGTCTTATTATACCCATCAATGAATGTCTTGAGAGTGATGTAACACATGAAACATCGCTCCCACTGTTAGACAACTCTTTAGATTACTATTCGTTAGACAATTGCAGACATAAATCACATGAAAAGTAAGTGAACACAGAGTTTGCCATCAATTGATCCCTTATTTAACTATTGATTATGTGCTAAAAGTAGGGAACTGTTGATAATAAGCACATTAGATGGCAAACTAACAGCTGTGGACGTGTCTGCGGGACATGTCGTTTGGTCAAAGAGATTATCTCCCGATCCGTTGCTCTCATCGACAATAAGCGACTTCGAGATCACCCGAAGAGGTCGTGTCGTACGAGTGGTGCCATCACTGGATGGCAACCTATATCTGTATAACGGGAAGACAATCGACGGAATACCACTTAATGCGGACACTCTTCTTAAGAGTTCCTATAAATTAGGCGACGATTTAGTGATAACTGGCGGTCAAGAGAGTCACATATCAGGCATTGATATCGCGACGGGCCGTGTCTTCTATGAATGCGGTCTCAAAGGGTGTCCAACGACTCAATTGAATGAAAACGAAACGTTTGATAATTTGATTTTAATTAAACGAATCACACAAACCATACGTGCAATCGATCCCCGAAGCGGTCGACAGAAATGGTTTTTCTCCGTAACGGAACCGCATTTGTCGGAAACCTCTTCTGGATGTCACGACTCGACCGATTCGAGTGGAAATCCCATCACCGATGAGAGCGAAGACATCTTGAAAGACACCGATTTTAAAGTTATTGTTCCCAATGGCTTCATATCGGCTAAGATTCACAGCAAACACAACGACCAAATAAATGGATGGTCTCATAGGTTTGATTCACCTTTGGTTCACGTGTGGCACTACCGCAACGGTCGACTCAATCCGCTTAACCTCTTTGACAAACAAAAACTTTTTGGTTTCACAAACACTGATCTAAATGCCAATGGTTTTGAGCCATCGGTTTATGTCGGACTCTATCAGAATCAGTGGTATATCCAGTCGTCCGACAAAATCAAGGGTCAAATCTCTGAAACTAAAGTTACAAACGATTTGTTGGCCTTAAAATCGACGGACAAAATGGAAACGAAATCAGAGTTATTGCAAATTGAATGGAAACCAACTGCTCTTGTCTTCGATCACAACAAGCCTTTGGACTCGGAATCAGAACTCGATTTTGTGTCGAGTCCTCACTTTTCGTTCGCTATTTCGTCAGAAAATGACTCTAAAATGGGTTACTATTTGTTTGACGCCATCGAAGAGAATGAGACCAAATGTCTAATAAATTCAAGTGAAGAGCTATTGAATGAATCAGAATATTGCGATGAAGACAATGATTTAATGCCGCAAATTATAATCAGATCTCTTTGGTATTATTGGAGAGAAGTGACCGCTATTTCCATTGTTTCCGCATTTCTTCTTAATTTTTGTTATTCACTAT